CATATATATTTATTTACATATATAAATGTATTGAGTGTATTATTTATTCTTCAAAGCAATTTTATCTATCTCGGCATTGTTAATATAATATTTACATTGACCTCTAAGTTTCGGTTGTGAAAGTCAGTTAATTGAATTTCTCGACAACTCATCATTTTTACATAGACGTTTAGGTCAATGAAAACCAAATAATCTTAATTTTGTAAATAATGCACGATGTCGGCATGCCAATTAATGGCCATAAATATTTCTAAATAGAAGGAAGTGTAAAATTATTAATTTGATGATCAATTTCAACTTAATTATTAGTCTATCTTCATAACATTAAACGTTGAACTGTTTGGTAAAGTACATAACGTTTAACGTTCACTGATACACATAACACTTTGATGTTAATGGTTATTAACCGCAAAGCTAAGTTGGTGTCAGTAATTGGCCCCCGACGCCCACACAGGACCGTGAACTGGTAACACCTACATGCTACAGGCCTCAATGTCAGGGTTACAAATAACTGACGAATGAATCAACGAAATTAAACACGAAAATTAAAACTTTATTTTTAAAATGTTTTTGTCCAATGTGTATTTATGTGTACCTCTATAAATACTACAGTATCAATAAATGTAATTTGTACAAAATAAATACCATCACGAACTGCTATTATGTAGAAAATTCCTTTGGGTTACTGTCAGATTTTTTACACTAGAAATATATAAAAAGGTCGCATGAATATTGCAGGAGATAATCATTTCTTTGATAACCCCTTCATTACTGTTTTAATTTGCAAGGCGTTATTATTTAATTAATTTATAAAAGAAATGCAGATATCAAATCAAAAATTGTTATTGGAACTGTAATTTTTTTAATAAATATCGTATGTAAAATACGATCGTCGATATGTATTCACCCTTATGCGAATTTTGTATGACGCAGTCCCACGCACTTTGCTTAACTGACGTAAGGGTCCCGGCCAGTTTAACTTATATGGAGTTTCGATAAAAATAAATAAAAATTTATAATAGAAATTAAATCGACTTATAATACGGGACTAGAGTGCTATCTAGTTGTAAAAATCTCCTCCCAGTTTTGTAATCTAGTTATAAAACTGGGAGGAGATCGCACAAGACCCACTTCGGATCGAAGAGCCAGCAGAGTAGTAGTGGAAGTTTCAAATAGATACACATGCATGCCTACACTGGACTACTAAAGCTGGAAATGTATAATGGGGTAGTAAAATTGAAAAGATAAATGCGAACGAAACGAAAAGAGCAAGCTTTCGATTTTAAGCGGAATCTTCTTTAGATGTTGTTTGTAATTTGTCTACCCATAAAATAACATATAATTATCTTTTCTAAAAAACGAAAGAAGATATACAAAACTGGGCTTTGGAATACAATAATTACCATAGTAGTAGGTTAACAAATTAACACATCACTTTTACAAATTCTGTGGCTAGCCACAAGAAATCGGTCACGATCGCTGCTATCAAATTGTTTTACAAATGTGACTTGTTTTAGCCCGTGAATTGATAAACGTAGCAGATAAATATAGCGGACGCCAACCAAAACAATTGCCATAAATACTTCTTAATGTCAATAATGTAATAAAAGCTAAATGTCGTCAATGCAACCCCCATAATTCATAAGTAAGCATTCTCATTCCTAAGGCGAATTCCCCTGAAAAAGACCAACAAAAAACTGTAGGGGTTGCTCTTGTAAAAATATCAGGTTTACCATTTACAGAAATAATGTAAAAATAACCTGACAGAGCTTAATAGATAATTCCCATGACTTTTCGTCATCCAAGTAAGCAAATATTTATTTATTTATATAGTTTTTGTTCTATAACAGTATTAAACGTCTTGAAAGACCAGATGAATTATTCTCGGTGGTACAAAAACTGTACTTTTATTTATGTCGAAACCGTATTTCAAAAGAGAGCCCGTCCGGCATTTATGCGATGGTTTGGTGCTTTATTTTAAAACGTACTCTATAGTATGATAGTGAATTTTGTCTTACTGAGCCTTAAAGTATAAAAAAAATGTAAAAATGTGATAAAATTATGTAAGCGCTGCACATCAACGTAGCAAAGGTACCAACATTGCGAAATTAGTTCACCATGTCCGTGTCAACCTTCAGTCGGAATAAAGTATTAGGCGCGCTACATTTCCATCAAGTTCCAACTGAGTGGCGTTCGCGTGATACCACATCAATTATTGTCACCAACATGTCATACAGACACCTACATAATAGACAAATTGCCGCTAACCGGGCTGCCATTGATATGACATTTGTAGATCGGCAGTTGCTCGACCAGGGCTTTAAGCCTGGCCCAGCCAGCTGGGCTCGGTGCAATGTGAGTCAACGTTTAACAATACTCGTTTTTAGGTTATTTATAAACAAAAATGATGGATGTGATTTTTTTTATTCAGTTTTATTGGTTGATATATTGCATTGGACTAATTGGGATTGGAACCAATGCATTCCGGTAATGGTTAGAACATCGTTGTAGTTACAATAACTTTATGTTGCTTATTCTGTTCAATTTACCATACATGTTTTCTGTATTTTCAAATGTTATTTAAGATTCTTTGAATGCAATGCAACTTAGGTATGAAAAATTAGAATGTTAATTCAATATAAAGGTGTGTATAGGATATATGAAGAGTTTTCTGGCAAGAGCTTAATTTAATCCAAAGCAAATGTGTAAAGATATAAAATAGGAGTTTCGTTAATAAATCGAACGCCCACTGAAAGAGATAAATTACAGGAAAGAGAGTGGAGTGTCAATTTTTAGAAATATTCGGAATTGCACGTTATTCTCGTTAATAGGGAACTCGGTTGCGAGTACCGAATACGTACAGTCAAGTAAAAAGTCACTGATCACATAGACTTTTTCTTATTAAATAAAGGAAATCAAATAGTGAAAACGATATACTGATAAAATAAATATACTAAAACCTATATTAATTTAGGTTTATGTTTATTTAAAAATACTTCTTATTACTGACGTAAAGTTGTCATGAAAAGCTCTCGCTGATCAACGGCTTTTTTTGGTGCCTGTACCTCATCTCGCGCGACAGAATTGAATTGCCATTTATCATGGATTGATCCGTAGAAACTTCAAGTCTTCGACTGTCGCTTCTGAACTTTTTCGTTTAGCAAATCGAGTGTTCAGACGACGCGGCATTACTGAAATTCATCTTGTCGGATGTGCAGGGGTGCGATGGTGAGAGGGAAGCGGGGGTATTAGATGGAGGGCATCGTCCTATAATTGCCTGTCAATAAGCTGCTTAGCTGTGCGGGTACGGCTTGTCGGTATGACGCCTCTGAATGTATAAAATATTCGAAGCTTCACAATGCACCTTTGGCATAAATAATTATGGTCTTACTAACATATAACACAATATCAAAAGAATTGTGAATTCTACTTTATTAGGCTTAAATTGACTTCAAAGCGGTAACTCGAGAATAGCTCTCATGATGTTGCGTAAAAGTATTAGGTAAGGGTCGATCACCTCAGGCAGAGTTGGAAAGAGGATTCCAGAAAAATGATTCTATTAAGCTTTTATGGTTTCATGAATACTTATTATACAAATCGTATTATATATCATTAAGTAGTTACATGTGTAGTATTAGTGTTTAATTAATTCCAACTAGCAAAAGAGGTGATTTCGAGCTAATAACAACAATGTTTCTTATAAAATTGCTGACTCCGTCCTTAAAAGGATCTTAAGTCAAAAAAGACAACCGCTCAAAATATTATCCTTGGTAAAGTTCTGTGGAATTGAAACTTTCACGAGTAAGCCTAATTTTAAATTTTGCTCTTAGAAAATGAAAAAAATGAAGGTAAATTTGCTACTCCTACATCAATGTCAAAATAATGACATATTCTTTCTTTACATGGTTAGGAACAGAGGCGGGTTCCCATGAGACATGGGAACATTGAAGCATCCAACAGGTGTAGAAAGAAGATTAATACATGTAGCAATAATGACATTATGTACTTATGGGTACTTTTGATGGTTCAGGATTTATTTTACGATAGCATGCGATATTATGGTAAAGTAGGCAGAATTGTGTACTCTACCTACGCTTCAGTTCCCCAACATATAATCATGTATACATTGTTACGTTTTGGTACGAAATGATTCTGTAATAAAGTCAATATGTGGTGCAACTGTTAGAGGCAATGTGATAAGAGAGCGTTATGATATAACGAATGACTATAGTGACTGAGATATAAAAGGGAACGCTTCGATGGTTTGGAAATATGAATTTATAGATGGAATGTGGTTGGAAAAGGTTGACTTCAGCGTACATATCTCAAACAGATTGAGAATGTCCATAAGAGGCTGAGTAACAAGAGTCAACAGGCTTGTATGAAAATGTTGATGCGGAGGAAGCGTGTCAGGAACGTATCAAGTAGAAATCTGTAGCTTCTGCCTACTCCAACAGGAGATCTATATAGCACACCTGGCTATATGTATATAAAAGACAATATAGCTAGCATCAGTATATAATCACATCCTTATTATCCCAGCGTAACTTATCGATAATTAATAACATTATATAAGTCATGGTTAACAAAATTGTCACAAATATCAAAGTACTAACCAATTTCGATTACATCTTATATTGAAATCTTTAAGTTTACCACTTAAAAATATTGTTACTAGGTGCATGTATGTCTAAGAATGTAACTAGCAAAATTAAATCTACCATAAAATGTAATCAGTTTTTTGCATCTACAAATATTTGTCAAATCGTCAAAGCAGAAAGTACGTATAAATCCACCTTATATCTCTTGATGTAATTATATCGTGCAACTCTAATTGACTTTTACTGTTATGGTTCTTCTTTTAGGCTATGAGTAATGTAATGTAAAGTTGTCCAAACGACTATATTAGCGTAACGTATCATTAATGAACCTGGCTGTGTGCCGGTAATGTTTTTGTGGTTCAAGATTCTTTAACGTTGTGGAATTTAGAAATGCCTTACTCATTGTGCGGTATGTCCTCGAGTTGGTTGGCGAGCGCCGGCGCCACGAGCAGCAGCAGCAGCAGCAGCGGTCGCGGCGCGAGCAGGGCCGTGGTGCGCCGCGACATGTCACTCCCACATCACTGCACACACTTACATCGAACACCGCACTCCTCACACCGGGACTGCACACACCGGGCAATGTCACCAAAGGGCGCAGCGAGCATGAGTCATCGGGACAGGTTAGGCCGGAGATGCCGCGCGTGCCACGGGCGAGCCGCAGGGCGAGGACAGAACGTGTCGCGGAGCCCGGCGCCGCGTCGCCGCAAGCACCCCCTCGCTCTCCGTTCCCCTCGCGCTTTGCCCCGCGTCCCTGCCCCGCAGCCGCAGTGACGCTGCGCGCCGATCATACGCCCAATAAACTCAACCTACTACTTATTACTCGGATTTATTTTCTCATATATAGGGTTGGTGACCAGCCGCCTCTTGTACTATACAAAGTCACTTCGGTACAGAACCAAGAGCAGCATAGGTTTGCATCTGCTATTTTGAATTGATAGCGAAGACGGTAAGTAGTGGTCGTGCAGTGCAGCTGTCGTCATCGGGTCACCGGTTGATGGAGGCTCTGCTGAACAAAGCTCGTGAACGCGGTGGTCGGGCGCTCGGGCGCCGCCACGCACATGCGTGGGCATGCCGCCAGGAAATCCTTTATTGATTCCCGCGCTCCCGCTTTCTAAGGAATGTCGCAAGCGTTGTTACCATGTTGTTACGGCCAAAATTCCCGCCCGCTATTATAACTCGGCCCAAGCTGATCGCGATGCGCGACCGCGCTGCGGATTACTTTCATCATACTTTTTGCGAGTTCTTGCACATACAAACATGGAAAAATAATGGCTTGTTAAATTTTTCTAAATAATTTTTCCTTGAACAGACGTTAGAAATTTGTTTTGTCTGATTTATTCCAAGAGTATAAAACAGACATAAACAGATTTTTAGGTGACTTAATTGATGAATTATTTATTACTTCTCGATCTCAACATTTTAGCATTATTATTTTTACTTGTACACTATTTACTGTGTACCTTAACTTACGTAATCTCTTTGAAAAATATCCTAACGACATCTATTGAATTTGATTTGTACTTTGCGGAGAGTAGTGTGTGGAGAGGGTACGTTCCGAGGCTACGTCTATGGACAATTGCAGAATAAAAAGTGCAACAGGTAAATTTTTAGATATTTTATTTTCTCAATACAGTCGACAGTTTAACTTTCGTTTAACAATAACGTATTGTCAAGAGACGTTTCAAATGAAGTTCTCACCCCATTCATAGATAAAAATATGAAGTATCTCGATTTACATAAAAAGGATACAAATAAATAGCATCCATTGTGCGATAAAGTTTTAAAATGGTACAATCTAATTATTGTCATTAAAAGGAAACATTATAATTAGTACTTGAAACGTTGTACGGCCTTATATAAATTGTATACAAAAATATTTGTTGATTTTTGTACCTCAAAAGTTGCTACTTAGCAGAGATTTAACTCAGCGTTTGAATTACAGTTTACAACCTACAGTTTTTCGACAATATGTCAGTTAAAATTGTATAAAAATAAACGATACAAATATGCAATCTCGTAGCGTAGGCATGGCGCACGAGTACAATCACTACTTCCTAGTGTAACTCTATATGTACACGATATCATTAAGTTACATGCGTATAAATTAATATAATCTAATAAGTACTTTGCACAAATTGTCACAACACTAAATGTTCACTGTTGAGGTCGTGTCTAGTATACTACAGTATGTTTCAGTTCTTCCGCTGCGTGAAACACGATTCTATTAGACAAGCCGAGCGCGGGCCCCGTTCAAGCAGCGGATGCCCTCAAAGCCTAGAGAAACTGATTGTTCACCTTTGAAAACTGATGATGCTGCCAAATATTTCAACATTAAACAAATCTTATGATAATTTACTTTATAAGGATTTACAATCAGTTTCCTCGACTGTATAAACACACTGCAAGCGAGCGCTAACAATACTGTATACAGATCGCTAAATGCAGTCTTTAAATTACTATAAACTTTTACCTAAAGATCACAAAAATACAATTACATAGTTACAATAACATATCGAAGTAATCTCATAAATAACTGCCTACCCTACAGTTACATTAACCTAACCAAATAATTTGTACAATAAATCTTCAGATTTACGCAGACCTCCTGAAAGAATAATAATTATAGACATAAAAATAAATAATATGATAAATTATTAAAATATTTGACCACAGTCTTTAAAGAAATAAATGTAACAAATAGCGAATGGAGACAAATGGAAATGTCTTTAAGAATAGGAACACACATAAATTGTTTAAGTATGACGATTTTTGGTCTTTAGAGTTCACATATTCTTGGCACTGATACGTCTATAAGGAACAATGTAACAAAATCAGGTATTTATTTCTACTTGGCACAAATCACTTCTATTTAACGATCGTCTGTCTCAATTTTTAAAACATGTATCTACAATAAATGCGTTTGCAGACGCATATGGAAAATTACTGCCTTATCATAACTAACGTAATCGCCTTCAACAGAGTTCGTCCAGGGAAGTATTGCCACCACTACCACCTTACCTATTTCTGCCGCCAAACAGTAACGTGAGCATTACTGCATTTCGGTTTTGAAGGGCGCTGGTGAAATTACAGGTACATGGCACTTTTAAACTTATGTCTCAGGGTCACAGGCGCAGTGGCATTGCCCCTCAGATCTTTGCAGTTTAAAGCTCTGAAAGGCACTGCAACTGTTATGGACATGCGTGTCCTGTCATTTGGTATCGATAAAAAAAAATAAAAAAGAAATTTTAGCGAAATTGAGTTATTAACATATCTAGGATCAGCGAAACAAGATCTACAGTCCCCTCTAAATGGTTTTTTCTATCTTATTTGGTTTTAGATATATTGTTTAGCAAAAGTCAGCGTAATTGAAATTTTTTACTAGCATTAATTAGCCAATACCTCGAAAGTTACCGAAATGCATTAGTTACGACAAGAAAGGCAGATTAATTTACGTACTATACGTAAATTAATTTACGTATAGTACCGGCACGCTATGATGGCCGTTTTGACGATTGTCCGCTAATCAAGTTTCGTATTAATTCATAACTACGTTGAAGGAGCTAATTGCTGTACATTGTTGTAAATAGTGATGTGCAGTAAAATTTATGGAATGTATAATTTTACGACACAACTCGGCATTGGTTATTCGAAATTTAAAAAAATGAAATCTAATACGATTCTCACTTATGGGATCGCTGGCCAGCACAACTTCTAGCTCCGGCAAACTCGCGTCAAAGGTCAATGCAAAACAAAGCAGTTTCGAATTAACGGTATATTAAGTAAACATTTTTATTTTCGTTTCATTAAAACTTTTTAATCAGCTATCCCTTGCAATACTAGTTATAAATCTAAAATTTAAAGATGTGACTCGCATTTGATTATATTTTTTTTCGATGAATTGAGATTTGACCTCACTATTGTAATCTATCTAAACGGCCATCATAGCGTGCCGGTTCTGTAGTTTAGTTGATTCTATAAAAATAACCTAAGTGCCGAAATATTAGCAATAGAGAAGTATCAATGCCTCTATGGAATGATTAACACTTGTTGCACCACATTGTGTACAATAACGTTACTACACATAACTCCTCAGAATTAGCACTCCCAGTACAGAATGATTGTAGCCTCCACTATTTTATCCATATTTTAATGAAACAATTAACTTAAAAATAGTTCGCAATACCGTCTTAAGGTTTGATTATAAGCGTACCTTAAAACGCATTTACGCTCTCGTACTATAAGAGATTATGAGTCCGTAACTTTAGGTAAAGATGTCGTTTCTTCGTATAATGTTACGCATTTACACAATTAACGTATTTTCACAATGAAATCTCGCAAACCACATACATTTTGTATGTAAATCGTGTAAATAATAAAATATACACTGGTTTATTTATAGTTCGTTGTATGTTCACTAGGGTCCGTTTTAACACTTCAATGACGTGAGGAATCGCTTTCGTGTCCTGAGTCTCTGCCGTTTTCTCTGGGCGAGGCTCGGTGGTCCCTTTCCTCTCTATAGCGGTCCCTACGGTCTCTTTCCCTGGACCTTTCTCTGTCGCGGTCCCTTTCGCGGTCTCGGTCACGGTCTCTGTCCCTATCCCGATCCCAATCCCGGTCGTCATCTCGGTCTCTACGCCGGTCGTAGTAATGATACGACCGACGGGACTTTCTGTCGCTTGGCGTTACCACTTCCACTTTTATGTTGGCTGTGGCCGTTACCTGTGATAGAACAATGTGGTTTAATTAGAGGGGATAGTACATTAAGTATATTAAGGGCGGTAAATAAAGAATTACGAACGAAACTTTATTAAGAGCTCGAAGTCGAACACTGAGGGCTTTCGGAGTCGAGGTTCGTAATTCCCGTACGGCCGAAAATACAATGCTTTTCATCATATTTGCCGGTAAATAGTATGATTGCATGCAGGCTAACTTGACTATAATGCTCCAAATAAAACCCTCGTGCTTTTTTTCTTCCCATTACAACCATGGTGTGTAGATAATGAGAAGAAAAAAGGTCCTATGGTTTTATTTGGGGCATTATAGTCAAGTTAGCCTGCATGCAATCATACTATTTACGTGCAAGTGTGATTAAATAATATTAATATTAATATTGTGTATTAAGGGCGGATAAATAAGAAAATCCGAAGGCTGAGGGTTTTAATGACCCGATTTCTAATTTTTTACCGCCCGTTCTACATTGTTTTTCATCACATTTGCGAGGAAATAAATATACAAATTATACTTTATGTCTTGTATGAATAAATATCGCTTCACGACACAACGACTACAGATTTTGCAAGTGGCGGGTTTTTTTTATTAACTAATGATTATTATTTATTGAGTATTGACTAAACAGGCATTACAAATAATTAAAAACTTAAAAATTAATTCCCATAAAAACTAAGTACAAAATCCCGCCATTTTTTTTCATATCCCTTGACATTCAATTTTTTATTTAAAACAAAACTCTCTGAATTGTGTAAAAATACTCGAACTGAAATGTGTGAAAACCAAAAACGGATACAGCCATGATGTAAAAATAAGTAATTTCAAAATACTAAAAACACTGCAGAATTTGAATTAAAAAAATTTATTTTGGTAAAATATACGTAGTTAAATTTTAAATGTTTAATTTTCTTTCTATACCTCAAGCTTTTGAGCTTCTGTTCTTCTTGAGCCTCTAAGCTATGTGAAATACATCCAGAGTTTTCGACCATAAAACTTTTTGGTTAATCTTGACGTATAAGAGAAGTACAGGAGTACAGTACAATTAAATTTTAAAAATAATGAAAAAGCCTGTTGGCGTAATTTAGGATTATGGCCGACTTTGACTGCATGTCATGACACTGTTTACGAGCAAATGTGATAAACATTATATTACAATGATGAAATACTTGAATTATATATCATTTTAACAAAAAAAGTGCAAATGTTACAATAGAAACTTACCTTAGTAGTAATAGCGCCTGTATGGGGAGATTTCGAAGTAGGAGTAGAACGTCCTGAGGTGGAATCACTTGCATTATATGTAGTAGTCTCGACGACCACTTCTGGTTGAACTACAATAGATTGCATGGACGACTGTACAGAAGGCGCTGAGCTATGCCAGCTTGGCTCTTCTGTAATGGTCGTGAGAGATGGAGCTGAAGAACGAGGCGGAGGTTTGTTGTTCCGACTTGACTTGTCATTGTTTGATGTCGAACTCGACTTTCGAGTATGAATCGGAGATGACTTTGGAGATGGCGTTGAGAGACGCTCTGGATATTCAAGTGGCCGGACCTGTGAGGAAATGATACCATTTATTGTGGATATTTTTTATTGGTGTGCATAAAATGCTCACCATATTTGAATGTGATGATGAATGTGAACATTTAAATTTTTTTTTAAAGTTTATCACTCTATCTAGCAATAAGTTTACGTTGTTACCCTGTATTTTGTCTGGTTTTGTATTTGTTCTAAAGTACTCGTTTTTAAATAATAATAACGTATACGCTCATAGCCCCGCACTAGGGAAACCCTACATTGCGAGTATAATGGACACACACATAGACAATCACAAATTACACTCAAACTTACGAGAATAAATAATTGTAGGCCATGCAAATATTTATCTGCGTGGCAGTCTAGCATGGTAACCGTTCAGACACGGAGGAAGTATAATGTGCCAGACAACCACACCAGTTATCTGGTCTCAAACTAGGTAATTCCCAGTACTATGAATGGGTACCAGAGTAACGGAATTCACTTCGGGGCTACCCGGAATACTCAGGCCAGAACCAATTACGAAAAGTTCATTTCCCAAATTGATTCCACCGGGAATCGAACCTGGGACCTTGCGCATCCTGCGCCCACATAATTACACTGAAAGATCGATTTAATTGCTAGTTTTTGGCAGAGAAAGCTTTAAAATTTTAACTTTTTTAGAAATTTTTATGATTTATATTCCCAATAAATACTATTTAAGGAAATTATGTGAAACGTACCTCGGCAGCAGGTCCCAAAATAGCCAATACAATAGGAAAGAATAGCAATCCATCGACGAGTCCAAGTAAAACTAATGCGAGGAGAAGTCTCAGGAACAGTCTCGCCACGAAGCCAAATTCACTAGCGGCTAGCATGGAAGCTGCTAACGCTGCAGCAAGTGCACCGTGAACTACTGGAGCTAGCGCAGATTCAAGCGCTAAGCTTGCTCGACGACGCCTGCAGCCGATTGCCGTTACGAAACCCTGTGGAAGACAACGATTTATTACTTTCGGATCTTAGGCTAGGTTAGGTTAGGTGAAGTTAGTAAATATGGACGGAGATATAAACGGGATATTTCCTTCCCATTAAAATAAATACAATACAAATAAAACTTACCAAACATAAATGCACAGTGAAATGTACGCCTCGACCAATGGCTAAGACCAGTAGTACAGCAGGAACTGCTGATAACTTCACTCCTAAAATTGCCATTACTCCCAACAACTGCAATACCAGAGTCGCTAATGCGAAGGTCACTAGCACTGCTGCCCAGAAGTTTAATAGGAGCACCATTACAGCCTGCAAAGGAAAAACAAGGTTAGGTTAGGTTAGGTTAGAAGAATCCTTGGAAGAAAAAAAAGTGTCGCTGTAGCTACTTATGAAGTGATCCAACTTACCACAAATGCTGCGGCCAAAGCACAAGTAAGTGCTAAGAGCAGCGACGTCCTTAAATAAAGATATTGCTCCCAAAACAGGAATGGAATACCAGACGGGAAATTAGACAATCCCTTCGCTTCGAACTTCAGACACAACTCCCGCACTTGCATTATGAGATTCTTTATGTTTTCCGTGTCACTCAGACCTGATAGATAGAACGGGAGTTGTGTATACGTTAAAGGTGATGATTTCGGTATTTTCAAATCTACGTCAGTTGGAAGGTGGGTCCATCTCTTTGGTTGAGGCTTCAGATTTGCTTGCGACGCCCCGTACGCCAAAGCATCATTCGTCGCCCAAGCCGACAAGTAATTGTAGAACGCTTTTGGGTTTATAATACCATCTTTCACCAATCTATGTCCATTTTTAGGGTCTACTAGTGATTTGTCAATTGGATTGTCCACGTGTCCAGTCTGTACCATTAGTTTGTAACCCAGTATGGCTTCGTCACTTGCATTCTTGCACCAATATTCTTGAGTAATGCATCCACTCTTGATCTCTTTGTCAAAAGCGTCTTGCAACTCGAGAAGCCAATCGCGGAATAAACTCAGCCAGAACTTCGTGAGCCCTCCGTTATCGTTTTTTATTATGTTCGGTATTCGTACAAATTGATCGTGATATTCGTAAAGTAACTTCTGGTTAGTGGGATATTCGAAGTCTCCTTTAGTAACAGCGTACATGCTGTAGAAGCCAAAGTATTTCTCTTGTCGGTAGAGGAACTCGTATTCGTCGGTATTTTCGGGAACAATGTCCGTAAGATCCAGGCCGTCTTTCACTTTTGTTGCTCCCCAAATACTCGCTATTATAACAGCGATTAGGGCCAGCATCGATGTAACCTACAAAAAGAGTGTATTTATAAATTTATGAAAATATTCTTTGGTTGCGCTCCGTTGCCGGGAAGAAATTGCTACATAGCAATAAGACCGCCAGCTGCTTATTAACTTTCAAATTAAAATTACTGTTATGTGTTGCCACTGTAACTTCATACGCAATAAAGAATATTTTATTCATTAAAGTGATAAACCTTGTTCAAGTTCGTATAAGATAAAACAATTACAGGTAGGTAATCTTAAACCTTCATATACTACTTACTTTTACAGACGGACGCATAATGAAAGGGGCATAAGTATTCTTTGCCCATTTTGTGAGCGATAAACTGAGACAACACGACTTGTTCTTCGCTTGTACTTCCGCTACGTCTGGGTCCAAGGGCTGTCTTGTTGCATCTTTCCAGTTCTGCAATAAAAACCATTTGTTAACAATTAGAAAATGTATAATTTATTCTTCTTCTTTTAAATGTTATGGCCCCATCGTATAATTTATTACATAAATTTCACAGATAATAGAAGAGAATCTAAATACCTTATCCGTTTTCCCAGGTCGTGTCTTCGATCGATCAGCAATTTTCTTAGCTCTTGAAGGCAGTGGGCTTTCTGGCAGCAAGCAACATAAGAGGTCAGCTCTAGCTGCCGATCGTCGTCGAAGGTCCAAAGAGATCATCGCAGGAAATACTAGTAGCATTGAACCGAGGTTGAATAGGAGTAGAATGGCAGCCTGTTAAAGATAAATTTTAAAAGAGTTAATTATGTATTTGATTTGAAAGATTATTGTTACAAGTAGACAATCAAAATGTGAAATTTGAATTAGTATCTTACCTGAAGGCAAAATACCCTCAGAGCAGGTATTGGCAGGAGCGCAGCTGCCAAGAACGCCAGAACATTGCACAGAGAAGCCAATAACACGCTGAGACCGCTTTTCCTTAGCACAAGTCCAGTGCGTTCTTCCCTGGGTACATCTCCCGCTTGCTCCACGTACGTGTGAGTGAGAAGGAACATGTCTTGGACTCCTAGACCGAGGGCCAGGAATGGAACGATTTGCGTGCTTGATGCGTTGAATGGTATGCCTGGAATTAATCCGTTTGCGATGACATTGTTTCTAAAGTAAATGTTCATTGTTCGATGTGTGTGTATGTATGAAACGAATTAAAATAAAACTATAAAGTAAACAAATAATAATTAAAAAATAAAGCAAAATAATCACCTAACAAAGCACAAAAGCCTAGTCCGGCAGCTACGGAAATGGAGAGCAAGAGGACTCCCGCGATGCCCACGCCGGCCTGCGATCGTACGGGGTCGCGCCACTGCATCAGCGTCAGCGCTACGTAAATTAGCTGAAAATAATAGTGCAAAAGAAACTCATACAAATCCAAAAAAGATGGAAGTGAAATAAATAAAAACAAATGCTTGTGAAAAGTATGATAACCATAGGTTAAAACCGACATAGTTTTATTCATAAACTATCAATCACGTTGTCCTTCATTATTCGTAGATTTAAAGGTCTAAAACTTTAGGTAATAAATGAAAGTGAGGACACTAACCATAAACATATAGCCTAAGATGATGTTTTTGAGCGAGAGTTCAGAGAATTTGCCTAGGATGTCATTGAGCGTAGACGTGGAGAATGGGTAGAAGCTGTAAGATGACGACACGGAGTCGTCACTTGACGCCATTTTTCGCCGTACCTCCTGAAATTACATTTTAAAAGTTATTAAGTACAAAAATAAGTTTTTATTTACAGTTTAAGTGTAATGACGAATGTACTTACAGCTGCAAATTTCCTCTGCCAAGCATCCAATATAGCGGCAGCCTTCTCCTGGTTCCAATTGATGTGATGCACGCGGTATTCATCTGCCCAGTATTCGTACATTTCCCGCTCGCCCATTAGCTGGACTACGGTCTGCAGTGCGCGTGCGCTTCGCAGAGCAGAGGTGGCGTTGCGAGTGGCGCCCCCTACAATGAGCTGTTCCGGCCAGTGCATGTATGCTGCAGCGAAACCGTAGCACCCGTGAGAGAGTTCTGCTGGCACGTCCGGGATCTGAGGATGATAATCTTGTTATATATAGTTCGCTAAAAGTGTCTGTATTTTGGGGACGTCTCATGCATGCAAGGACTAGATATCCATTCATACAATAGGACTAGATTTTGTGTCGTATGATATTTCGTCTGCCTTATCTGGTGATGTTGTTCAGCAGAGTACAAAAAGCAGAAAACATCAGCTTGTTATTGCGCCATAAAAGGTAATCGATTCCACTATGTTGCTATGGCCTCTGTAAATAAAATATGAATGTTTTGGCCGTCATTACTGGCTCAATGTGTCACCTGTGCAGTTGACGACATTATTCAAGGAACAATGCGAGACGAAAGATTTACGAACTTTCCGTGGAAGCGTTCGTTTGGTTCGGGTGGCGAGTATTATTGATATAATAGTGTCATTGTGAAGGCGGCAAACGAGGCCCATTGAAGCGTGTACAATGCGCCCGTATAATACAGCGCAGCGGTCCGGCTGCGCGGGCGCTGGAACAATGCGCGCAGGTCTGCACCGCGGACCGCCGAACGTGGGTGGCGCGGCTCCGCGGGGCCCGCTCTACCCGACATACAAAAACGTGCCCTACCCAGAATCCACTCGACTTGCGCCCAATGTACTATTTGTAAGACAATCGAACACGAAATATACCGTTCCTTGCGGTGCAAACACGATGTTTATTTCAAATTCGGGGAAGTGGTGTACCCCGTTGTGATAAAAACAGCCAAATTAATGATGGACGTTAAATTTTCAGTTGAAAATCAATGTCTTTTCAAACGATACTATCACGTACAACTCAATTCTCAGTTTCCGAAGTAACTTTCTCTGCAGTGGCAACGAGGCGGCGGGCAGCGGCCGGCGGCAGGTAGCCGCGCCATCTGCCCGCCGGCAACCGCTTTCATCCTGCCTTATGACCGTTTCCAAAAATATTTTATTATTAAGAAATGTATTTAAACTTTATACGTTCGCCTCGATAAAGTTATTTTATTTGTCGTGATTCTACACGCATTATTTATGTGCTAGTAAAATTGTCGTAAATTGAAGTCTTCATAAAAGAAGCGGGAGCCGTCGTAATGGTCCCTAATGTGGGTCCCACAGAGGCGTAACAAATTATTTTATACATAGCTCGCTCGCGGACAATAGAAGGGATTTATTCATATACCACTTTACTACCTGAAACTCAGCCCTTGCGTCAGTTTGGAAGTTTGAAAGAATGTCTATAACATAATTTAGCATACAACTCACTTGTCCTGATTTTTTGTTGGGTGCCGAGTCTGGGCACTCGGGGTCGGTGGGGTCGAGGCAGGGCTTTTTCATGTAGGCGGACGTGATGCCTGCTCTCTTCATGTACGCTTCCATTGTGCTTAGGGGGAATTGGAACTTCATATTCCTTACTTCTTCTAAAACTTCTAGTGGATTTAAGTGTGTCCATCTTAATTTGTGTTGTAGACCACTGCAAAGAGGATGAATAAATTTTTTGTCAAGGTACGTCTATAATAATGACGGCTAACATTTATAATTAAAAATAAAACTCACGGTGGTGCAAAAATTTGTTGATCGGGTCCAAGTAATTTGGAGCCCTCCCAGAAGCAGTCGAGTGGAGTTATAATGGCACAAGGTATGATGCCGTCGAAGATCTTCTCGATGTGGTAAGCCTCGAAGTCAGGAATGCTGGGGCTATAGCAGAGCTGTTTCAGATGCCAGTCGTTGTCGAACATACGCACTGAGACGCGTGTTGCTGCGTGCACCACCTGACGAAGGATATAATAATAATAATAATAATAATAATAAATACGATAATAATAATAATAACGCCCACACTCATTGCCCCGCACTATACGGAAACCCTATGTCGCTGGTGCAACACACGTACAAGACAAATTACACCCAAACTCTCGAGAGAAATAAATGTAGGCGATGCAAAAATTTCCCCCAGCCCGGTAAACAAAGTCGGGACCTCTATGTTGGCAGTCCAGCATGATAACCGTTCGGTCATGGAGGCAGTTGAAAGTTACTTGAATGCTTCTTGAAACTCCTGACGATCTGGTGCCTAAGATACGTGTCATTTAATAAACAACAACTTATTTGACTTATATAGTTCTGGGACTAAATAGACAGCTTCGGGCCGCATACTAATTGGGAGGCCTAATTACCTTTAGGTGTTCAAGCAGCGCGCCCGCGTGTAACACTGATGCGTCAGGATCCTTGGCTGTTTGTATTATAAGCTGGTGCGTCGAGGACTCAACTTCTCCCAACGCTTCTGCTGTGTACTTGAGTTCTTCTTCTAGTCTGCCACCCTCTGTGAACAACAATGATTGTGCGTTTAGAAATAGCATATACAGAGTATATACTCGTACATAATTATGTTTATTTACTGTTAGCTCTTTTTATAGAAACAATGAAAAACTAGTAGAGTAATTTCAGAAAAAATAAAGAATATCCATTCAATAATAATTTATTAATATCCATTCAATAATAAAATTAATAATTTATTACTAATTATAGATAATAGCGACATCTCTCGCCAGGGCTGGTAGCTGTAAAGTTACCTAACTGGGTGACGAAATACTTTCATATACTATTTCTCATAAATGACGCTACGGCTGAAAAGTCGTCAAAAACCAAATGCGACGATCCGACAAACAAGCACATGGAAAAATTCGTGAGGTCCACTGGTTCGTTCAGTGGCTTAGTTAGCATAGCGTCTGGCACAGCTTGCTAGAACACATCGGTTCGAATCCGGCCGGATCGAAGGATTTTTTTCGAAGTGTTCGATCTTTGTATTAATAATTAAATTAAATTCTTATTACAGTTATCAATTTTTGCAACTATTCTCTTGCGGACTTTTGGTTCCACTCTTAGTTCCAATAGTGGGTCCGGTAGGAATTTTAAGTAATGATGTCTCTACTTAGATGATAGAACGATCTTAGTTTTCACGAGTAAATTTTTGGGTTCGTGGTTCTGTTCGCAAGCTTTAACAAAAATAAATTATAAAAAAATGTAGACAAGGGCAAAAAGAAACCGAAAAGATACACTTAGTGAACAATGTTGTATACGACCAAAAACCATAATTATAGATTATAGGTATCAGCAAAAGTGCAATTAATATCGCATTAAAACCATTTTTTGTTCCCCGCTACAGTGGACGGAGTCGCTTGCATTCGTTCATTAAAATAAATCGCCAGTTTAATGTCTCTGTCGTTATGGTACAGACATCTTAATTAACTTATTCGTGTACTAGTTGTACTCAGATAATATCCTGTTTCTGCTCTTTCATTTGCATATAACTATTCTTAATGTGTGGCAACAACATTTTAAGCTTCACGCTTTATGGGCTGGTTTCGTGATAATTTATTTGCAATAGCTACTTTGTAGTGCATTCATTTCCTTAGGACAAGTCGTATTATCTTTATAGGGATGTAAATTGTGTTAGTAATGGTTACTGCGAGTCGTTGAAATATCGTAACGAAAAGGCATTTCACTCGCATGTTAATCTATATAATATTTCAATTACATGGATGTTAAATTACATTGTATGCGTTAAGACTGAATTTGAGAAATAACAAAATTCCGTAGTTCAACAATTTTATTATACCTCCAACAGGCGGCATTTAAGGACAAAGGCAGGACAATTTATAATCTTCATATTTTGTATCATCGCACAGTTTTCAAACCTTATGCAAGACTATAAAAGGGACTATAATAATGGTCAAACTATACCTAATAAAACTAACAAGACAGACTGTATGTGACAGCCACATCACATTCACCTGGTATCAAACTAGAGAATTCCATGTAGTATGAGTACCAGAGGAATGGAATTTACTTCGCAACACCAAGACCAGAAAAATTAATTTCCCCAAATTGATCTTACCGGGGGTCGAACCGGGGACCTAATCATCTAGCGCACATAAAGCAAATTGTTGGACCAACTAATTCGAACGAATTTAACTAATTTATAACTGTGTATGTAAATCTCTCATATAGTTAAACAAAGAATATTATATATAACTTTTATTTCTAACTGTTACTTCTAAGAACTCGCTGTACTATTTTCGATTCAAGCATCGGAATTAAGGGGCAAAAAACCCGTCTAATTTTGGCGGTACCCATCAGCTTCTACGTCGGCTTATTGGCGGGTGTCGACACATTTGTTCGTAGCATAGTGGCAAGCGCGATAGTTAACACATCCTGCGGTGATTTATTGCCAACCCATAATACTCCCCTCGCCACTTCCCTCGGAACATCTCCCCATTTTAGCGCCCCGAGTTTAATTAAAACTGTGACAACTAATTTAGTCAATTCTACGAAAAGTGATGACGTACTATAAATAGTGACGTACGTTGTAATGTAGTTGTATAATAGTGTAAACCGAATTTTCGGAATATAATGGTTTTTCAATGTTTAGTAGTAGTAGTACAATTTTTCGTCCTTCGGGACAGGCTAAGGCGTCTAAGCCTTAACTATATTTTAATTTTTCATCTATAATTTAAAGTCTATACCAAATCGATGTCTTCCTTTCTCAAACTCGTATTTTATAAGGAGTGATTATTCAGGAGATGGCAAAACTTTATATTTCTTTTGTTTTAAATTTCTTATCAAAGGTGTTAATTTGGATGCACTACTTTAAGAATAGGTGACAACCAGCGTGTGAATATGAAGGAAATGTAATGTGAAATCAGCCTGCAAAACTTGTTTAAACAATCCATTTTTTGCATTTCAGTAACTTTGTGTATAAGAAACGTCAAATCGTCTCTCTCGTTATTTCTTTCTTCGTTGTATCTTTATTCTTTTTTTAAATTTTATGGCTTTAAAAAAAAATTTAAACGTTAAGCACAATCGCTATTTGCTCCAAAGAGTTTACATTATTCGGTTTTAATTTAAAATGTGACATAGCTTTAGTGTAAAGAAATGTGAATAGGCAACAAATTAACAAGCACCCAAAACTAAGATGCGGCACAGACGACAAACTTGAATGATTGACTTCTTATCTCGAGACAGTTCCGTCCACGACCCAAAAGGATTTTTTGCGATTTGGGACTAAATCGTTGTACGTTATCGTCGAACGTCGCGGAATTCGTTCCAATTAACACCAACCGCTGATTTATAAGACCGCTCTGTCCTCCGCTAAATTAGAACCGGAGAAGGTGTTAACAAAACATGTTACAGATTATACGTGGAAATGTTTTTAACATTTGTCTGACAATGGCTTAAGAAGAAAATAAGTAGAAAGAGATAAAAAAGACCGTATTTATGTTTACACAACATATTCGTTCATATACAATTATTTTGGACACGAGTTAGTGTATGAGTAGCAGAAGAAGAGAGGTATGTGGTATCAGGTACGTTTTACAAAAGTATCATGTTCATGATTTACATTGTCTATGGTACTTTTAATTTACTTAAAAAAAGACGTTCTTGACGTTCAACCGTATTTTTTTGTGTGTGTATCGCTGAGACTGTTTCCTTTATTTTTTCCATCCTCTAAGTTGTATCGCGATTACTCCGATATTTGTGAACTGATTTCAATGATTCTTTTTTGTTGGAAAAGGTGCCGTGTGAAACCAATACACTGTAATATCAAAAACAATTTTTTGAGAAAAACCTGAAAAAATTTTTTTCGGTTTTTTTTTCAATTTTGAGGTTAATATTAAGACATTTTTAACTTACTTTGTATATTAGATATTAAATATAACCCAGCCATTATAATTTTACTTTGCAATATCGTCGCCTTACTTTCTTAAACTCGTATCTTAAAAAACAAAGTAACTGAAATGCAAAAAATGCATTGTATATACATATTTGCAGGCTTAGATAGATATATATATATAACGCATAGAAAGCTAGTCTGCACACGCTAAGTGAGGCAAATTGAAGCGCTCCCAATGGGCCTACACGAGCGGGCGGGCCGTCAGTGCTCAAGGGCAACTTGTACCGCGAACAGCTCATGAATTTTAGCTAAAAATGACGAAATGTACGGTAAATGAGTGTAAAAATACGTCAGACAAACATAAAATAGATACTAACATCACATTCCTCAAGGAACTAACGCGTTTCAACTTGTATTTTTATATAAATATTCACTAAAACCGAAAATTAACCTACTACTACAACTAGCCTACATGAATTTGATTTTTGCCTCACTTGTGACAGTTCGTTTGATATGAAACTATCATTCTATGTGTTATTATTCTAAGTTTGCAGGCTGATTCACTATTCATATTCACACCCGGGCTTTTACCTATTCTTAAAGTAATGCATCCAAATTAACATCCTTGATAAGAAATTTAAAATAAATGGAAATTTTTGCCATCTCCTGAATAATCACTCTTTATAAGATACGTGTTTGAGAAAGTAAGGTATCGATATAAGCTATTTCTATTAAAAAACGAATAAATTTATTTTCTCTTAGTAACAGCCGAAAGTCTTGTTGTAATAAAATTAAACCACACTGTACTTGGTGGGACTTGCATTGGTTTGGTTTGACACGTTAGTAGAGGTACCATTCAAATTAGAAGAGAATATTCCACCTCTACGGGGTGGAAAATTAATCGATGAATTCGGTTTATTGGATTTAATCCACTTCCAATTAACAGATTTCAATAAAACTTGGCAAATAGGTGTTATTCCACAAACTTTTGATGTTAGTTTTTTTATTATTAAAATGTTATAATTGTTTATATTTTATGACTTTAGAACCGAATCCATGGCAGATTTGTATCAATGTATGCAAGGAAAACAAGAGCTTGCTAAACTTTAAATTGTGTTACAAAGTATTCAAAGTGCACATGTTACGTAATGCAGCAACAAAATAGTTTCTTAAAATAGCTTAAAATGCTACAACCGACAGCGTGTTTAGAGGAAAGTCAGAATTGTTTTACTCGGAACTGCCTTTACAAGGAATATGTCAGTAGTCGACATAGCGGCTGTTAATGGCTCAGCACCTTTCTAATGTTGCTTTCCTTCAAGTAACTTTTGAGAAACTGTATTTACATACATGTACACTTACATTTATGTAGTCACGAACTTTCATAAATAATCATTTAGGGTTTGAAACTTCATGATGAAGCCTATATACGAAATATTATTATTGTTATTATTATTATTATCATGTCAATCAAAGCGTAAGTTGCATTATCGTGCTTACGCAGATATAATTTAAAAAAAACTCATATTGCATAGCACTGCTACTGCCGTTAAGTAGATGTCTTTTAATTGTTTTTTTCCAATATTCTAGCGACGGTTTTATTGACTTGTAGAGAATCAAATTTTACGTTCAGAAATGGTATAATCTTAAAT